GGTCAATTCAAAGTGAATATCCGGGACGATCAATCAATATAACTTCGAGTAAATGAAAATTAATTAAAATAAATAAACTTGGCCGAGTTGCTTGAGGAAAAATTTTTTAGGCGAAACAGCCAAAAGGAAGTTTGCAAAAAAATAAACCCCTTATCAATTTTTTTCAGACGTGGACAAAGTCAGAAGAGCACTAATTTTCGCAATTTAATGCGTCTTGATTGAAAAGAAAACATTACAACCATTAATTTCTGGTGCGAAATATAGAGCATCGACACGTTCCGTTTCTGGGCGTACAATCTTATTTGCAGATCGTTTGGCTAATTTGTGTGCAAGCCTCTAGTGTAAAGCTCTGCTCCTTAATATTATTAATTTTCATATTCAATGTTTTTGTCTTAGTTTTGATTCCATGATTTCTATAATAAAATATGCAGAAATTTCGAGGATTGTTTAGAATATTCACTGGTTGATACATACGAAAGAATTGAAGCGCATTTGTGTATAATAACAGTAAATACAATGATCAAACTACCAAACTTTATCCTACACTTGAAGGGTAACAATGAGCAATCTGTCCACCACAACCGCCCAAAATAACATCGGGATGAAATTGATTTTCCGAAATTTGTTACCTGGACAAAGGTCCTGTTTATTATGATTGTTCAGTCCATACATGTAGGCAAACTAAAAACGCATATGTTATACGACCGAGGTTCGAGCAAGGGCATTATTGCGGCGTGTCGATGACAATGCTGTATAATACAAGGGGCGGTATATTTGCTCTCCCATCGGTAATGATTCAATTTAGTGCCTGGTTAGTCTTTTCAAAGGGATGCAGCTGCTGTTTGTCAATAGCGCGGCATTTGTGCAATATCCAAATTTTGATTCCAACGATTTTTCGCTATGAAAAACATTTAGTTCATCTGTGTGGATTGCGTTGGCCCAACAGTCATTTATCATTGCGCAACAATTGCAAACGTATGTTTCTTAATAAGCCAGGCAAAGGGTTGTTTTCGCTTTTTTCCCCAAAGTAAATAATGACTCTACTTTTCTTCAAACTCACTCAAAAGTAATAGTGACAATCAAAATTATGCTCAACATTTATGGAATTTAAAAAGTCCGTTCTTTAATTTCTTTTTCGCGAATAATAACCATTTAAAATTGAAGTCATTTTGAATCATGTCAAACTCGCAATTCAAAAATGTGTAGATCTTTTTCTTAGATGCGTAAATTGGTGTTCTACATGAAATCCATTAAAAGGTCAACAGTTCTAACACTTTAGCTTAAGTCGAAACTGGGGCGTCGCAATAAGTATCTGGACAACGTTTGCATTTTTTTAAATGTTTAGTAAGTTCCTTTTACTAAACTGAAAACATTTTTGAAATCATACGAATAAATATTCATAGAAAAATCAAGCCTCGAAAGTGAAGCTAGATTATGTGGATTCAGCTTCCAAACACTAATCGCTTCTGAAAAACGATTGGCTGCAATCGGCATTGTATTATTTTTTGCTGCCGTCTGTGTCATCACCTGCACCTTTAATAATAAAAAATGTCCATTCTGTGTAATTCAAACTGTGTAAATTAATCTACAATTTCTTATCCGGAGGAAATAAAACTAATGGCATTTAATTTCTCATGAAAATCTTCCATCTCTCCATTCCAGTCTTTCACCTGATTTAATGTATGTACAATCTACTCATAAAACCGTAAAAATCGATGGTTTTTGCAAATAAAACTCCAAATCTTGTAAATGCTGTGCATTTCTAAATGGAAGTACAGTTGGTTACACATTTTGAAAATAAACTTTACCTATTAAAAATGAAATTTTCTCAATTGGTTTTATTCCAATTACAGTTCGGCTCTAACGACGATTTAATTGATTTGGACAGCAGAATCCATCAACAATCCTTTCAAAAGAAGACAATGTTCATTAAGCTTCTAATAATATTTAAATATTAAATTGTCTATTGCCTTTACTTTAAACGTTTTTCAACGGTTTACCCTACTTATAGAGTAAACGTTATTTTTTAAGTTTATTATAGTTAAATTGTAGCAAAATATTTATTTTCAAATGACCACGTTTTGCAATTGTTCTTAAAAACATCTTTCGTTTCATGAAAAACCATTAGCCCGTTCGAAAATCGAATGAAATTTAAAAGAATACAACGTTTTGAAAAAGTTGAGAAACGTCCATTACGCTTCTAATAATCTTTAAATACTTACTTGTTTTTTATTGCCATTACTTTCAATCGTATTTTCATGGTCTATTTTACTTGTTTATTCGAAAATGGCCACGTTTTGTCATTGTTTTTATAAACGTTGTTATTTCTATATATTTCAGGAGCTTGTTATTTTCAAGAATTTAGCATAAGCTTGCTTTTACAAAGAAACCAATGCTTCATAAAAAGTAGGCCGTTAGACAACGAATTCAAATTAAAAAAAGCGATATTTTGAAAATGGTGAGAAACGCCCGACTTTTTCAATAATGGTGATATAATGTGAGCATGTGCAGGAAAATGGAAACTCGAAAAATTGTTCCATTCTCTTTCAAAAACTGGAAACACGCGAAAAGTCATGTGCACTAAACGTATGGATTTTCGTAACACATTGTTCTGAAAGCCACTAAAAGTATATTTCAGTAGCATTTCAATCAGCCGTTTCTACATTAGATGGATTGTTTTTTCCAAGTAAAAATCATAAGTTCAAAAACCAAATTTAGTCTATTTTCGAGTTATTATTGAGGCACTCTTTCTGAAGCAAATAAAACTAATGAATTGTACATTTTTCTGTGATCATCAAATGAGAGTTAGGAAGCATATCGATTCAAAGTGTCACAGAAAAAAGTCGAATGCATTCAAATCTGGTGATCTGACAGGCCGTTTTATACTCCTTTTGAGTATCACGTAATTAATGAAGTGAACTGCAGGTGACTATAAATAACATTGACTATAAATATTTTTGTCTTCAGAAACGCAAATATGGAATTGTCAAAAACACCATGTATGTACGATTATATTTACGCAGAAATTCCTTTTTTTGAATAAACGTGCCCGTAATTTATGTGCAGAATTCGGTACTGCAGATTTTCAATCGGTAGTCAAATGTTGGGGAAATTTATTTAGGGTTTATTAGGTACTATCTGTGAATTTTTAGACGGTATCCACAACTCAACTTGTACGTAAGTTAATAGTTGATTAAATTAAATGAATTAATATTTAACTACTGACTAATCTTACTAATCCGTCATTACATTCACGTTATAAATAAAACTTCGGAAAACTTCAACCATTTCAATGAAATGGGACCATTATTTTATTTATTTTTCTATATCATCA